GTGGTGATGCTCTCGCTCACCCTCTTCAGCAGTGCAGAGTTGTCTCCATATGGATACTGCGGGACAGTGCATGTGGAGCGTTTCCAGCGATGGTCGAGTGCAGGTGTGGGCGTGCAAAAATGCTCCCGGTTAACATGCATGCATATGCTAGTGTTGGTGTACTGCATGGCGATCTCATGGCATTGTTTCGAGTGTGTGGCCGTTTCGAGTTGGGGTAGGGACTATCATGTTGTTAGCAGATTAGTGCTGTTGTTATTGTATCGTTAATCTTGTATGCTGACCGAGACTGGTAAATACGTGGCTTTCGGTGACATCCAGGTCCATGAGGTTTTGAAGGATGCTATTGAGAAGAATATCCTTCCGGGTGAGTGTGCCTTCATAATGTAAATACTCGACAATCTGGATAGGGGTGATTCTATTCGTTATGGATTCTGATGATGTATTGGTTGCTTTGAGTAGCCTTGGTCTTCAGGTACGGGTGTGAGTGCGGTCGAATTCTGGTCGCATCTAGAGAAGCTACTGGCTGAGTTCTCGGATGAAAATGCCGCTTTGTTGGCTCATCGAGATGAGCTGCAAGCGGCAATAGACGAGTGGTATGAAGGTGGTTGCAAGGAAGATCAAGAGGGCTTTCTCAAGAGGATAGGGTGAGCTTTTCTTGTACGGACTAACACGTGTTCCGAGGGTTTCGGTAAAGGTATCTGGTTGAGCCTCCTACAACCAAGACGACTATTTGCGTCACTAACGTTGATCCGGAGATGTCCTTGTTGGCTGGTCCACAACTCGTCGTTCCGGTCGACAATGCTAGATACGCCCTGAATGCAGCTAATGCCAGGTGGGTTTGTCGAGGTGGTATACACTGGTTGGCGTAAGTGCTGTCGTTTAAGGTGGGGTTCTCTCTTTGATGCTGTTTATGGCTTTGATGTGATTCCTGGCCGTCCCGGTCCTGGAGGCTATGACCCCTCCCGAGGCCTTGCTGTGCTTGAGTAGTTGTGTTTTGAGTATATTCTAATTCTGAATTCCTCATATGCAGATTCGCCTTCAAGCAGCTGGATGGCATACTACCTCTGGTTGATGCCCAGTGGGCTGAGCTGGCATCTATTTGGGTCGACCATCGGAGTCAGCTTGTGGCTAGCACGACAACGGGGAAGTCTACTGGTGAGTATAGGGAGGAAAGGTGACTGGAGTGAGAACTTGGTATTCCTGCAGGACTGAAGTCGCCTTCGGCTTTTGTTGGGTATAGGGGTAATGCCAACAAGGGTGATCTTGTGTTTGTTCACAATGGACTTCATATAATCATCAAGATCCACAAGGAATCCCAGGTAATAGTGTCAAGTAGCATCCCAGATGTGGAAGTTCGTCCATGCACTAGGTTGGCAAGCAGAATAGTATGGGCTTGTCCGATGTGGTCCTCGAGTCGGCCCTCACTGCTATCATGGACTGTGAGGACTCGGTAGCGGCCGTTGATGCGGAGGACAAGTCCCGAGTTTACTCTAACTGGGCCGGCCTTATGCGAGGTAGGATGTTACATCCTGAGTACTTGGCGAACAGATTGGTGTATAGGTGATCTGGAGACGAGTTTCAAGAAAGGCGGCAAGTCGGTAACTCGCCGACTCAACTCGGACCTTACCTTTAGGATGGCTGGAGGAAAGGGAATCGTTACTCTCCCTGGTGGGGTATTTCTCGGGGGTCTTTGAGTTGCATTGATTCTGTGTTAGGTAGAGTAGTGGCTTTGGTGAGGAATGTGGGTATTCATATGAGAACTGACGCAGTGTTGTAAGGCCGGATGCGGTTCTTGTGGAAGGGGGGGATCTGTTGGTTTTTGACAGGTATCGCGGTGATGAGGCCTTCGAGGGCTTGGTGGATGCGCTGGTCACTGCCACAGCTGGACTGCTCGATCTTCGACAGGTCGGCCGCAACAGTTGTAATTTGATAGCATCCAGGAGTCGGCAGGATCGCTGTAGAGGCAGGTACTGGCTCTATCTATATTGTGAAGCCCAAGCTGCATG